TGTGCAACACCGCACACTAACATCTAACACTTACAGCAAAAAAGCTTAATTTGTATGCATATGTTCACATATAAATATTTGCCAATCCCGTTAAGTAGACGTGTCATATAGCTGAAAGAATTCAATCAAGTAGCCTTGTATATAACTGCAATAACAAATATGCCCCTTTTGCTCACACGAACAGTGTATACAAACACCTAGACTCCCCTATGCACACTTGAATTTCAGCCACAGATTCATGGCGAATAAAATGGTTTTTATTTTATTGGAAACTTTTCCGTTTGTTAGCAACTCACCTGAACACTCCTTGGCACAGGTGTCCGCATGATAGTTATGTGAGCTGGCATCACAGATGTCGGCGCACGGCATGCAGCTCTCGGCGAACATGGAGCAGTACTCGCTCACCGCATGGCACAGCTTGCCATGGCAATCCTGGCCAGCGCCTGCCGCACGGTCATTGGCTGCGCTCACCAGCGAGAAGCTGGGCAGCAGCGAGGCTCCGATGGAGAGCGAGAGGGGACGCATTTCCCTGCCGGACATCAGATCAGCTCTGGAGTGCTCTCTTGATTTGAATTTCTTTGTCTTCAAACTTGTTGTTATTGTTTCAGTTGTTTTTGCAGTCGTTGATTCAGTTTTTGTTGTGTTTCACATAACGTTTATATGCACTCAAGAAGCTGATTTGTTTTAAGCACCGCTGCAGTTGTTACCTGTTGTGCTATGATTCATAACTTTGCGGCCTGCCAGCTTCTTGGCAAAGCTTCTTTTTTTTTCTTAATTGTTGACTTCGCTTTGAAAGCGACGAGCGTTGAATCCAGTTTCAGTTTGAGTGAAGTTTGTGCGCGTGTGTGTGTGTGTATGTGTAAGCCGCCTTATAAACTAGTTTCACTTGAGCAGAAAAAATGCTGGCTTTATTAACAGTTTCCCGACTTTTATTGTATTATTGCACTTCAAACTCTGGTGTTTATTATTTTGTTTACAATTGAAAAAAAAAACGTATACGATTTCTTTATAATATATAGGCCTTTTGAATTATTTGCTTTTGTCTGCCGCAAACGTTTTGCTTTAAGCCACATTCAACACAAAACTGGCAACAGCAACGCTCGCTCTGCCGAATGTTACCAAGCAGAGCTCGAATCACGCATACACACACACACACACATTCGCGCTCACTCACACGCACACTCAGTCACAAGCAGGCAATTGCGCTCTCGCTCTCGCTCTCGCTCTCACGTAGGCACGCTATGCGCAAACGACTTGACTCTTGTTTACATTATGGAATGTAGTTGTAAAATGCAAGTGTGTGTGTGTAAGTGCCCAACTGATTTTTAACTATGCACAGTCTACATATACATAGGTGTAGGTGTGTACATGTATGTGTTTCACAGGTATAAATGCATTGGTATGCGATCTCTATTTTGTTTTGAATTTGATCCAAGTTTGACTGAATAGCCCTTGAGTAGTTTCTAATCATAATTTTAACGGATGTCATGAAAATATGATAAAAAGTTTTTTTTTGTGTTTTGCCAATTTTATTTGTGATAAAGCGCAACGCATTGCAGAAAGACGTTGACTCATCTGCACAGCAGCCCATCATCACCTGACTTCATTTCTTTGTAATATTTATTTTTATGAATGAACGTCCAGAGGCATTTAACTACTTCTATTAAACAAACAAAATAAGCGAAGACAAAAAAATCAAGTCGATGAGCGATAAATGACAATTATTAAGGAAGCTATGATATCTTAATGATCTACAATACATTGAGACTTGCAAGCAAGCACTTGACGTCATGAGTCAACAAATAACAGTGTAACACATCTCATTATTGTTGCTATTTTTATTTGTTGTTATTATTGCTATTTAGCCGAAGCAAACAAGTTTCAGTGTCGAGAGTTTTTTGTAGAGTTTTAAAATGCGGTGTGAGAACTGGCTCGCGGTTGGTGACTTGGATAAAGGCACAGCAATAAGGGCGCATTAAACTTATGTTATGTGCTTTAAGAAACGTACAAGAGAAATAAAGAAAAATATCAATACTTAACGTATGAATTACTATTTATTTGAAACCAACTAATGAAAATCATTATTTTTGAAACTTAGTTTAATTCGAATTTTTTCGCCTGTGCTTGGCAGCACTGTCGACTCAAATTGGCAGCTTTTGCGCGCTCTACTATTGCCGATATATGGTATATCGATAGCTTCAGGCAAGTTTAAAATGCTTTAAATGAACAAAACTATTTGAAAATGGTTGTATTTTAGCTCTTTCACGAAATTTAAAAAGAATCATTTAAATAAATATTTTTAACGATGTTAATCAAACTAGAATTGCTTTTGAAGGGTTCTTCGCTGTCAACGTATTTTGAATATCCAAAAGTGAGTGCATACTATCGACCTATCGATATGACAGGCACCAAGCCAGCCATCCCCATTGCCGCATTCGTTGAGCGGCTTTCGCTGTTGAATGAGCTGCGAGCGCGTTCATAAATTACGGCAGAAGTGCGACGTGGTTTGCCGAACGGGACACAAAAATTGCAGCTGCTGCTCAAAGACGCGCGCGCTTTGTTTGTGTTGTGTTTTCGTGTGTGTGTGAAATTTATAAATAAATCGCGTGGCGTGAAAGTGAAATGCGTTGCAAGCAACATAACTAAACACAAGTGGATTCCACACAACATAAACGAGCGCAGTCAGACGCAATTAAGTGAAAAATTTCTAAAATTAAAAAAAATCAAAGTCAGGTTTGCTTCTGCTTAATTGTTTATCTATTGAAAGCGACGCGCCGCCGCCGTCGCTCAACTGGAAGGGAAGGTGCGGCAGCATCAAACCGAAACCTGAAACTGAAACTGAGCGAAAGACAACAAATACAACAACAACACGTCCTTGAGCTCATAATTAAAACACCTGTTCAACAGCAACAACAACAGCAACTTGAACTTCGGGAAAAGAATTTCACCAAAATCGGCAACAACAACAAAGGAAGATGAACAATTTCACAACAACAACGGCCGCAGTGCCAAAAAAGGACGCACTGCCTCGATCGGGACATGTTAATGAGGGTAAGAGTGAGACAACAACAAAAACAGCAACAGCTCAGATTTTGCTTGTTGGGCTTCTTTGCCTGACGCAAAAGAGATAGCATATCATTTGAAATGCATTGATGGTCGGGTGTGGGGGAAGGGCAGGGCCAGAGTGTTTCGGTAGACCTGTTCTGAAACAACTATGAAACTATGTCAATTAGTTTAGGGTGAGTTTAAAATGTAGCGCTCTTTATCGTATCACATACGTTTCGCTGTAACAGGAAGTGCCTCATTGAGTCGCAGTTCTAATTGCGGTGTTAATAAGTGCTGTAATATGTATAATAACACGTTTTCGAATGAAAAACAAAAGAAGAACAATAAGTAGGTCTCAAAGCACTTCAACTCAACTTAACACATCAAATATGATGTGATTGATGCGAGAAATTAATTTAGCGTCGCAGATTTGAAGGCTCAGCAAATAAATATTTTAAAAAATTTGATTTATATTTATATACATGTTTAAATATACATGTGTATATAAGAGTTGCTTTTAGTGAGTTTACATATGTATTTCCTTTAAAATGTAGAATACCTATACAACCATTTATTGAGATTTTCCGAATATATACATAAACGCTCTCTCGAGCATATTTTTGATAAAAAAAATAAATAAAATAAAAAAAAAAAACAAAACACTCTGAATTCCCATTTTCAATATTATAAGTATAAATATCTCTAATTTTTTTTCTGAGTCTCAAATTTTCTGAGTCTCAAATAAACGAAGCGATCTTAATTACATTAGCAAGAACCACGATTTTTGATCTGTGTGGCCAAATTTAAGCTCAAAAGTAAATATGTGCATATATTAAGAACGAACTCGACTCTGGGAGAAGTTTGTATTTATAGCCAAGTTCAATGCGGAAAAGTGGCCAGAGCTCGGATAAAAACGAAACTTTATTAGTTGAAAAGAAACGTTACGACATCTGTGACAAAGAGTTGGCAAAAGCTCCCAAGAGATTTTAGTCATAATTTGTTGTTATGCTAATCAAAGCAATTGTTGTTCAGCTAACCAAAAACCGAAGAGCCAAAGCCAACGAACTTTCTTTCGGTTTTATTTTCTCATCTTTCTCGAAGGGGCGCACTGTGTGCAATTTAAGTTTTTGAAAGTTTTTTTTTTTCCTTTCATGAAACGATAAACAAAAACAATGAGCTGCCAGTCAGCAGGCTACAGCAACAGCAACAGCGACGACAATAACAACCGACAGACAAATTAAACATCAACTTCCAAAAACATAAAACGCAGAAATTTCTGTTGAAAATAAACAAATGCGGCATAGCATTACGAGGGCTGCTACTAAAGTTGTGTAGGGCAAAGTTGAGATATTTTTTAAGTATTTCGATGCTGTTGGAATTCGTTATAGGAAGTTTCTTTTGTTTATATTCATATATTTGAACTGAGTGTACGAAAAGGACAAACAAGAAAGACTTTAAGTACAGGGAGAGAGGGGGAGAAGTAAAAATAGACAGAAAGAGGATATCTAGATTGGATTTTTCGCAGAATAATATAGAATTTCTCAATTTTTCTTCTGACTCTCTCTTTCTCTCTCTCTCTCTCTCTCTCTCTCTTTCTGTTTCTGCCTTCCCACTATCTTCCTCCATGTGGCACTTTTTTCTCTCAATCTAACTCCCTCTCTCTCTACCTGTCTATCTGCCTCTCTCTCTCGCACTCTCTCGTTTTCCTTGTCTCTCTAAATAGATTATGTTGCAGGTCACACTTGGCGCTAGTCAGCTCTCAGAACTCATGGAGCATCCCTCGTCTGCTTATAGTTCACACTATTTGGGGGCTGACTGAAAGCGAAAATCCACACACAACCGGAGGTGCAAAAATTGTGCCTGAAGCGCTTTCCATTTAATGCAACGAGCTCGATGCAAAAAATACCCCACTCAAAATGTATCTTTGTATCTTAAAGATGCGCGCGTGCAGCAGGCAACAGCTGACAGTGGCTGCCGCTAGCCCTGCCTCCGCCCACTGCCCCTTGCCCGCGAGCAACTTCTTCGGGCAGCCGCTTCATTTGCGCCCAAGCACGCATAACAAAAGACAAAAGAGAGACCCCCACAACGTGTAGCCGCAGCTGCGAGTTGCATGCATTGAGGCTGCCACTCAAATGCTGGCCTCTTTTTCCTTTTTCCATTCTTTGCTTTTTGCCTGACGAACTGGCCGCTGGCAAAGAGGCAGGAATAGGAATAGGAACAGGGACAGGGACAGGCACAGGGACAGGGAGTAGGAGCCAAGGAGCAGAATGAAACAGTCGACAGTTGCTTGACGAGATGCCGGAGCTGCCGGAGCTGCCTCACTGACTCCAGTTTATGTGGCATGTTTTTGTTTTTGTTTTTTCTTTTTTTTTTCTGCTTCCACTACTCTGCGTTTTTGTTGCATGCCACGAATGATTCACTTGTCGGCGACAGGATGTGCAAGTGCCAGAAGGAGGTCTCCACTTGGCTTTAGCTTAGCGATGCCACCTAAAAGACTCACAATTCCCAATCTCCCGTTCCTGCCAGCTACATAATTGTTTTGGCATACAAAAGGTTTTAAAAGGGTTTTTTTTTCTTGTTTTTGCTCAAAGACTAACTAGAATGGGCGCTGCGCTTAATAGGAAAGTTACTTAAACTATAAACTAAATGAAATCTAGCTGGGAGTATATACTAAAAGCTTAGAAATTTCGAGTTAAAAAATACTTTTTCCGGCTATATATTCATGATATAGTATTATATATCTTACTTAAATCTTAGGCTACTCTATATATTTATAAATAATCTATAACTATTGCAAAATAATATATTTTTTATACTTGGACAATCACAATTTCTCACAAATTTCAATAGCTTGTGCGCTGATCAGGAAGTTGTCAATGTCTATAAACCGGTACTCAAAAAGATTATATAACCTTTCCACTTCGCAACTTTCTTGACTAAATTGCGAACAGATACGCTTACTATATTGAATGTGAAATTCAACGCTATCTTTCTGATAAATAAGATTTTGTAAATATTAACAGATATGATATGTGTATAAACATATAAATGTTTTTATCTTTTATATTTTTTAATATTTTCTTTTATATCTTCTTTACATATTATAAAAGATATATTTTTTATACAAATATATGTATGTTTTAGGTATATAGAAGATATCTTATCACCATATTGATTACTCAGAAAAATTCCAATTGAAGTAATCTTTAGCTTACCTTAACCTTACTTACATTCAAGGAGATTATTTAATATCAAATAACTCAAACTTCAACAGTTAACGGGAATTGAATTTTTAACAATATTTCATTAGTAATTTTATTTTAATTCAATTTAAATTAAAAAGATATCGCAATTGATTAAACCAAATTATTTGTTTAGAACTCGTTTGTGTCTTGCTTTCAAGGCAAAAAACTCTTTGCGTGGCTAAGCAAATGGGAAACGCGCTCTCTGCTCTTGTTCTTCTTCTTTTTATTTGTTTTCTTTTTTGTCAGCTAGCTAGTTGCTCGCTTTAAGTAGCTCGACTCTTAATGCGGCACACAGTTGTGCTTTGCAAATGTAAAAGTCATATTTGGGGACCTCAATTTCAGAGAAAGTTACGTTAATGGGCTTTACATTTGGTTTTAGCTTGGCGAATGCTTCCGTTGCGTCAGTCATCAAATATCGAGTTACGCTAATTTGCTAAATCGAATGCATAATTATTAACGATTTGTTGTTGACGTGCGTTCCTAGCGCATGGTTCAATCGATCCGTCAATCAATCAATCAGCCCGCATTTAAAGTGTTTTCAGCTGCATAATGAGCTAAATTCTTCCCACAGCTGCAGCGGCAGCTTCTTATTAACGGCTTTGGCCATGGCTAAGGTCAATGCTTGGTAACACACTATATATATATATACACACACACACACACTCATATACACACACATGCTGCATCTTTAGCTCGTTTTCTGTGTGTATCCATCAGCTGCAACATTCAAATAGTCAACGTCGCATCTTGTCGGCGTCGCAGCCACATTTTTGTTTGTGGCAAGCGTCTGTTGCTGCCCCCGCCTATGCCTGGGCCCATGGCCATGCCCATGCCTAGGCTGCCTCTTGGCTCCGTCTGGTGGCATGTTCAACAACCTTGAGTCAGGTTTTTCCACTTTCAGCCGCTAATCAATGCAACAGCGTCGACAGCATTTTTCCTGCTTTTGCTGCTTTTGCCTCTCATAAATTTTCCTTCGACTTTCCAATTCGGGTTTCCACTCGATACCATAGTTTTTCATATGCAGTATGGCTTGCATATGCATAAATTTTCGTTCGGGTTTTTCATTTTTTCTTACCATTTTTACATATCCTCTTTCGTTGTGTAACGCTTCACGCGATCCACAGTCCGAGCCATTCAAGCGTAGACCGCTATTTGAACTTGGCCAAAGAGAGAGCAAGTGAAAATGAAAGAGATGGCCATAGAGAGTGGGGGAGAAACAGAAAGAGCGGCAGAGAGAGAGAGAGAGATGTGAAAAATCATTGAGGGAAGCCCCACAAAGACAAAGTGCCACAGAGAACCGCAATGCAAAGTGCTGTGAACTGAAAACGAATTTCATGAATTGAATGCACTGCGAAGGTTAATTGAGGTCTGCTATCAAATGCTTTTCATCAAAGGTCTGCGCAGCGAATGCAGGTTGAGGTCTTCAATTTGCTGTACTGTAAGAAGATGTAGCACCTAAATATAGCTAGAAAGGTGCAACGCGATTCGAGCAGATGATATAAGAAGTGTAGATGGCTGAATGGGACTAAATTCTTAAATTGACGGAGGTAATATTTAAATGTTGGAATAAGGAGATCAAAGAGAATATGAAATTTTTATAGTTGCTATTCTATATACCAAATATATTTATATATTTATTGTATATGTATTTATTATAAATATATATTTAAATATATTTTTTGTATAGCTTTCATTTAAATTTCAGTTCTATAGAATCTTAAATATGTAATTGTGTTTTTATTTTATCAGTATTGCCTGCTT